CTCCAGCCCCAAGGCCAGTGAAAAGTTGTAGATCCCAGTCTCTTTAAAAAAAAAACGGAGAAAGAGAGAGCGATAGTGGTAAATGTAACAGTCCTGAATACTTTCCGTACGGTAAGGTTCCCTGGGCCACTTCAAAACATACTTCTCTGTGTGGTCTGTGGAAGTAGCTTACCTTTGGCTGGTTTAAAGTTGACCCTGAATTTTGCTTTTTGCTTGTTAATTGTCTGAGCACTGTTCACAATCAATTGTCGGAAAAAGGTACTCAAGCCTGAGGCTGAAAAGGAGCAGCAGGAAATGGTGATGCTGGAGTTCAGGTTTGTTTTTGCTCCCTCTTGTGAGGCTGCTGGCAATTCTTCTGTAAGTCAGTGTTTGTAGTCCCTCTTCCAAGGCCTGAAGCCATCATAGTGGGATGCTGCAGCAGAGCAACAGGAAGGCTTTATTGGATTTGATCGATTAGCTGCTGTTTTTGAGGCAACCTGCCTTGTGAGGCTCACCAAAGAACCAGATGAGACAGTCTGACTTGTGGGTGTAACTCAGTAAAACCTATTTGTAATGCCAATGTTTGCAGAGGTTGAGATGGGCAACAGTGACAAATAAAAGATTACAATGAAACAAATAAAACTTACTTAATCAATTACTTAATCAATAGAAAGGACCTAATTTTTGACTTACTGAAGGCACTAGAAAACTTCAGTGCTTATAGGATTATCCCCTGGTATGGGGATATTCTAACATGCAGTGGCAGCTGGGCACTGCATGCTGGGAGGTAGCAAGCTGCAGAGGGAGATTGACCTTGCTGAGCAGTGGTTGACAGGCCATAACAGAGCAGGTGTGTGGTTACTGAGAGGAAAGAGGGATGGCCAAGTGAGAACCGCCCTCTGTTTGAAGGGCTTTCAGAGGACCAGCCTCTTTTTTGAAATACAATGGTACCTTGGTTCTCGAACTTAATCCATTCCAGGAGTCAGTTTGACTCCCGAAACAGTTCAAAAACCAAGGTGCGGCTTCCGATTGGCTGCAGGAGCTTCCTGCAGTCAAGCAGAAGCTGCGTTGGACCTTCAGCTTCCAAATTTTTTTTGCAAACTGAAACTTCTGGTTTTGTGGCGTTTGGGAGCCAAGCCGTTTGAGAACCAAGGTACCACTGTAGTCCTCCATCTCAAGGGCTGTCTGACCCAAGTCTGGTTTAAAGAGAAATAACCACAAGGAAGGAGAATAGGGACCCTAACTTTGCCCATCAGCAGTTAGCAGCTTAACAGTAGACTGAGCAGATACACAGGCAACCAGGTCACAGCCTTCCCAACTATGGTAATATGTGTTCTATTTCTATTTAAATTAGAGCAATTATCCATCCATCCATCCATCCATCCATCCATCCATCCATCCATTCATCCATCCATCTATCCATCCATCTGCACACATAGAAAGCAACATTTGTGCCTTTTATGCCTATCTTTGTACTCTTGCTCTGCTCCAGGTGATTCTGGTAGATGATTCTGGTAGATATCGCTGGTTCTAGTCACACCAGGTCAAGGTAAGGCAAGAAATATTTAAGCTATTACTAGATTTGCAAATAAGACTCACACAAAAGCAAGTACTCTTATGTATCCTTTGGTCAGCCAGTGGTCTCTTTAACTCAGTTTTTCTGTTAATCCAAATTACTGGAGAGAAAATACTTTATGGCCCACAGAGACCTGGGAAACCTTTGGTTGACAGTTGTTAATTAGCTGTACCATGAATCTACACACATCATAGAAGGTTATATTCCAGCAGAGTGGACACCAACCGGCTGTTGGGAAGTTCTTTCTAGCAGGCTGCACTTATTGCTGAACATTGGGTGCCAGGGTCAGTCAGAGGTGGAGAGGGGGCAGGAGGGCCATTTGGTCTCTGCCACGAGCTCAAAGGGGGGCTCATATTTAGACACTTGTTAATTTTTTTGGCATTTGATAAGTTTTGAAAATTGTTCTTATGTGATTCAAATCTCTCTCTCTCTCTCTCTCTCTCTCTCTCCACTTAGAGCTGCAAATTGAACTAAATAAGAGAAGTGATTTGGTGTATTTATATATCTCAATATCTGCTAACTGATATAGATTTTGTCATACTGAGGAGATAAAAAATTGTCTTATTTGGTTTCATGTGTCATCATTATTAAATTTTTGTTATGGCTGGGGACCTGAAAAGCTGGAAATGGCCCAGCCCCCTCAGTGCCTCTGAGAGAGCCTGTAAGGCAGCAAGAGCTTGGAAAACCAAGAACAATGCCAGCAATTCTACTGACACCCAAAGCTTCGGGGGAAGGGGGACAGAAATCTGGATTCTAAGGAGTGGGTTGATAGTACTAGAATACACGTCTTACAAGCATTTGAAAGAAAATCTTCAATTCATTATTGAAATTCTATGCATTTCACACCCACACCCACCTCTGTTTCTTGCTTTTTGCCAAGATGGAGAGTGGCGCTACCTCTAGGGAGCAGTGGATCCAGGCTCTAAAACTGCCAAAGGCCCCACTGACTAATAACAGAGCAGCTGTCACTTTCCAAGGCATGCCCAAACTGGTCATAAGTGACCTTAAATTGCTGTTCCATGTCCTGCCTCTTCCAGATTATGGGAGAACTCCTAGGATTTATTTCCAAAAGATCTTTAGAACTCAGGATGTTGAAATAAACCCCCATGGAACCAAATTTATATTTAACATTATCCAAAAAGTTATTCTTGACAGAGAGCTGCAGTAGATTACTGTGCAGATATGAGAGAGAAGTATATGTGACACAGCAGGACATCGACATCTATTGTTATGCTGTCAAAACCCCCATAGGGAATTTAACTGTAGCTCTCATTATTGTTATGCATTTCTCTATTTTCTCCAGTTAGACCTCTTTGAATCCATCCAGCCTACCCATAACATGACTAATGAGAATGGGTAGCTGATAATGTTTCATGCTGCCACATTCCCATATATATTGTTTCCACTTGTATGCGCAGTTCTAGTGGTTACACTTTGATAAAGATTTAAAAAACGTACAAATCTAATTTCTACATACAAAATCCTAGAGACTGGTGATATATCATGATGAGCAAAATTACTCTTTGCCAGTACAGTGAACTAGTTTATTGTACCAGACTACATTTATTTAATGCCTGTCATGCAGTGCTTCAACAAAGTGCTTAATGTATTCTACAAATAATTCTAATCTGCTCTAAGATAATGTCATACTTTATGTTTAAGGTACAAGTTTCATTCTACAGCCAAATCTAAGATGCCATTTAACAAGCAGGCATGAACCATCAGGGTTCCCAATTCTGGGGATGCCTTTGTGCATGCAACTATATGCAGAAGTCCCGGCTGTAGACCTTTGTGTTCTGGAGAGGGGAAGAGTTCATGATGTTGGGACAGGGCTGCTCCAACACGGTCCCGTTCCTTGCTCTTGTATTGCTCAACACAGGCACAAAGAACACCTAAACAGGAGTATATAGGACTCATGAGTGTCCATGTTGATGGTTGGCAAGGGGGTGTATGTATTTATTTTGCAGTACACACACACAGACACCCATCCAGTTGATCAACAAGAGGCCTGGAGAGATGTCTGAGACCACTACTATTGAGAATAGCCACCAGACTTGGACTCTGTATTTTTCTGGAGGAGAGCTTCCCTGGATTAGCAGGCAGGTCAGATGAATGCTTCTTTTTCTGATCTAATGCTTCTGCTTCTGCAAATGTTAAAAACACACACCCTGAAACCCTGGAAATACAACAATAATATAAACACAGGAATTGTGGTGCTTTTTGTGATCAGGTGCTGAACAGGTTGGAGGTGCTGCTTGACTTAGCCCTGCTTTTAGAGGGGCAGGTAGGAACCCTGGCCAAGAATAGAATAAAAAAATAGTCCAGCAGGAAAAGAAGGTGGGGGTTAAGCACAAAGCAAGGCAATCTATCCCCAGGCAACCATTGTTCATTGCTCATTCCGCAGATGTAATCTCGCTGTAAGTGACCTGAACAGAATTAAGTAATGTGTTGGCTCAATTAAAGCAATCACAAACATTTTCTGTGAAAGCATCCGAAGACATTATGTAATACCCAATATACCAATGCTAAGTGAAACATGGTGGACTAAACAATTCAGAGTATCTGAGAGTTCACAGAAAATTATTGTGAATATTGTCTTACAACTCAAGCAATTTGCAAGATCAAGCAACACCAAGAAATAACTTGAGGTCAATGCCACTTGATCTCTCAACATATGAGGACTTGCACTGAATATCTGAAGCATCACATTTTGGTTTTGGATCTTTCTTCATCTGGTATCCTTCTGTGTCCTTCTATCTCAGACATGGCCAACGTGGTGAATTACAACTTCCATCAGCCCTAGCAAACATGCTTCATTTGTCAGAGATGATGGGCACTGCAGTACGAAACTTACCTGTTGGCTCCCCGTCAGTGCACCACACCATTGCAAAGTCTCTAGGCGTAATCACTTCAAAGAGTAGAGTCTCAAGCATGCTCAAGTCTGCAGTATAAAAAATGTAGTGTGTATACCTTAGAAGCTGTAACACACGAGGGCTCATCAGAAACAGCTGAGTAATAGATCAATGATAAATGTAGGCTGTTGCTCTTTGTAGCATCACATACAGTTCACACAAAGAGTCCCACTGCAATAGAAAAAGCAGTAAGTCTTTAAGTTATGTCTGGTTTAGACTTGGGGTGCTCTGTGATGACCTTCAGATGCAGGTCAACTTTTAATAGGTTCTTCCTGCCAAAGATGCTGAGCCCTCCCCTCAGGCAGCAGCACAGGTATTCAGACAGCTGAACTTTCGATACAGGCTCTTAGTAAGCAACATCAGGGGGCAGAAATACAAGCTACAGGGAAAACACAATGAAAGAAAGAGCAGCACCTTTAACATGCCTATAGAAGGAATGGATTTCCTTGCAGGACGTGCTTAATGGAGCTACAGGAATAGCATGGTGGAAGAGAAGAGCAGCATTATCATGGGCAGAAGGGATCACACAACATGTGGATAGCTCAGTCAATAGAGCATGAGACTCTTAATCTCAAGGTCGTGGGTTCGAGCCCCACGCTGGGCAAAAGTTTCCTGCATTGGGTTAGATGACCCTTGTGATCCCTTTTAACTGTTGTGTTCTGTTCTTCAGCCACCTTTGTTGAAGGTGAAACATGTGAAATATTTAAGAAAACTAACTCTGCTTTTCTTTCACTTGGTTGAAGGAGTAGAGCTAGGACTTCATGCAGCCCTTGGCCCAGTTTCAAAAGCTTCTGCAAGTTTATTGGTTCTGATCTCTGGCAATAGAGGTCTGCCTCTCCTTCCCTTCTGTAGCTTGTTGGCTGGCAATGTGTGCTACCTTACGTTACCCAGAACTTGATGTAGGCTAGGAATCCAGAGCAGGTGAGAATAAGCTGTTTGTTTATAGCATTTGTACCCTGCTTTTTAGTCAACCAGGCTCCCAGAGCAGCATACATACAATCAAAACAACACAGTCTTACAATCTAAAAAAGAAATAAATCGCAAGACACCCAAGGGAAAAGGAACAGCACCAAAAGAGGAAAATCAAAACCTATGGTAACCAACTGGCACAACTCAGGGGCAGGAGGTACCTGATGGAGCTGATCAAGGCTGATGAAATGATACCTGCTTCCCATCTCTTCCACTGAGGCAGCCTGATGGAATGGCTGCCCCCAAATGACAGTTGAGGGAGAGGAAGGCTGATGGAGCTGACCTGCCAAAACAAAGTTGATGAAGCGAGCTGTGGCTCGCAACTTTCCCACTGTGATCATCTGGAAAGTGTTCATTAATAAACAGAGCAGGAAGGGTAAGGAAGTAAAACTCATTGTATCTGAAAGTGAACTTTTCATCATGACCATCATTGCCACTTCCCCACCTGTTTTCAAAAAGATGCTACCTCCTATCAAGATAAACAGCAATCCAGGCTTCTCTTGGTTTGTATCCATACCTTTTGGAGTAGCCTGACAAAGTCTTGCACTGTATCCATGCAATAAAACTCTCCAGATGTCAGATTCAGGTAATGTGTATGTTACAAGCGTGAACGTGTAAAATCATACGTCTATTTCACCATCTGCGGTGCATTCTTTGAACTTCACAAACCTGTCTTGGCCTTCCCGTCGCCCAATTATTTCATTTGAAAGTACTACTGCAATACTAATTTTGAGTCAATTTCCAAAGATGTGTGAGGATAAGTGGAAATTATGTTATGTGACTCAAATGAGAAGTTTTGCATCAGATAAGTTGATTGAAAATTGAATTAATGGAACCAGTGCACGTTCCCATGGCCTGCAGATGAATAAATAGGAAAAAGGGAAGTATAAGAGAAACAAACTGGTTTCACAACCTTTAGATATTGCACTAAATTAAAAGGGCAGATATCTTCTCTTATATTGTAGTAATTATATGCTGCTAAAGGGATTAATAAATTACTAAACATGTGTTTTACTGCCCATCAAGACAAATGGAAACTACATGGGCACAGGGTCAAAATGATCTGCACCTTAATGAAATATGAGTCAGAGCTTCAGAAATAAATGCTGTAAAAATTCTAAGTTAACATTTCCCCGTGTGGAATCCAGCTCAGGGGCTACCTTAGCTATGTTTGAACCCTTCATGAACTATATTGGATTCTTATATTAAAGGGTTGAGTATTCTGATTGGAACAATTCATACAAAACAGAACTTCCTAATGACTGTGTTACTTTGCACATAATTGGTTCTGTTGCAATATCATAATTTTACTTACATTCATATATAAATGGTATACATAAGCCCTGCTCAGAGTAAGGCTTAAAGCAGGGACATGAACCACCTGCAGAGGGAAAATTATTAGTGGGTAAACTAACTATAACATATCAGGAAAAGCCTACTATATCAGGAAAAGTCAACAGGGCACCATACCCTGCCAATGGAAAAGAGGGTACAACTGTAGCACCTCCCTCCTTACCCTGGCCACACCCCAAGGGTGAGCAAGGAGGCCTTCCTGTATCACCACCCCAGGAGAAAACAAATAAACTACAAATTAAAAATAGTATTAAATCATTTAAATTCAAACAATTTCCCCCAGAGAATTCTGAATACTGTAGCTATGCAAAGACAGTTTATAGATCCTCAAGGGCAACAAACTCTCAGCCTTATTATTATTATTATTATTATTATTATTATTATTGTATACCACCATTCATTTGTAGATCTCAGAGCACTTTAACAAACTGCACACGAACGCTCGTACCAGTAACAAACTTAGTTGGTCTCTAAGGTGCTACTGGAAGGAATTTTTTTGTTTTGTTTCGACTACGGCAGACCAGCACCTGTAACTAAAACTAAAACTCACAAGTGTTACTAGTTAATCACATTTAAAACCAATTCATGAACCAAGAACCTGTACATTGACCACTAATGAAACATATGTTGTAGATATTTCCCCACATTTCTTATGCTATTTTTGTGATATACAAATGAAATAAGAAAACTTGGTATACTTGTGTGTATAACATTATTCTTGTTTATAAAACCCCAAACCCCAAAACGCCCCCCACAAAAACCAAAAACCATGTGCAGTACATCTTCCTAGGGTTCCCAACTCTCCTGTTTGCTCAGCTGAGTTTTGTTGGCTTACCTCTCCCCATAGTTAAGGTCATCCTCACTGATTAGAATGCCACTTAATGTCTGCAGAGAATTTGCTCTATGCAAATAATTGACAGCCATCTGGAATATAGACGGTCGATGCATGAAGGTGCATCAACCACCACGTCTGCTGCTGGCTCAGAGATGGAAAGCATCAATTAATAGTATATATTTAAATTGTTGGTAAATGTTTCAGCCTTGCTCTTGTGCAAATCAGACCCAACCGGTACATTGTAGTGGTGCTTGAAGCAACATAAGAAATGCAGTAATAATAACAGCTGTTCCTTTCAGTCAAGGCAGCAAGGTTGCAACGTAAAACAATTAAGCCTGGTATTTTAACAACTGGCTTGCTTGGGACGAGGAAGCACAGACAATACTTTGAGTACGTTGTTGACCTTTTCTGTGGATCTGATGAATGGAAGCCTGCAAAGTGAAATATTTATTGCATGATGATTATTTTTTTTCCTGAGGCTGGTTATCTTTTCCACTGTCAAGTACATCTTATTTGCTAACTATCCACCAGGCATTTAGACTGTACTGTTCAGCTGCAGTAATAAAAGTCAGAAATGAGATGGTGATTTATTCTCGGGCGAATTTCAGCGTGTATGGACAATATATCTGAATCAGTGTCAGAGCAGTACATTCTCTGTTAATTAGTCAAAATGGCTGGGCATTAATTTCCAAGGCCATCTTCAGGTAACTACTGCTTTTCATTGTCTTATGGAGAAACAGGGCGGGTATAATAAATCTACTCTCCCCTTTTCCTATTTTAGCTCTTCGAAGGCCAGGTATGCCATTTGAACATACTCTGTCCTGGCACAGCCTCACAGTGTTTGGACGAAAAGAAAATGGCACTCAAGGATCCCCGTTCGATAGAAGTGCAGCAATGTGGTTTCATCAAATGTTACTCCTTCGCAGATAACGTTAAAAATGATTGTCCTTGTTTGCTCCTGGGGAATGTTACTTTCTTTTAATTTCCTTCAAATCCCTACAGAGTTATCCCCTCCCCTTATCATGCCTTACATTTGAGTATATGCAATATATTGAAAGACAACTCTCTGAATTTTAAATTGTGGTGGTGGTGGGAGGGAATGATTTTGGGTTTTCTTGATCCAGTTAGATAAAGTGAGCAGGAGTAGAAACAAAGACATGAAATAGGAAATAAGATTCTCCCAGCTTTATGTCCATCATAGAGTGCTTAGTTGCCATAGGGAGCATTTTGGATAAACAAAGGCATGCCCAGACAGATGGCTGGCACTGTATGGTTTGCTGGCCAATATTAGTAAAGAGGTGTTATTCCTAATCAGAACAGACACTGGTATCTTTCTCATGCAAATTATAACTTCTAACCAGCACTTCCCGAGTCATTACAATCCCAGTGATGAATTCTCCCTGACAATATGGAGTTGCTAGGCAACCCCCATTGGTCAGCTAGTTCTTACTAACAGAGCAGTCTTTTAAAGCAGGGTGGTGATTTCTTTCCTTTTCTATTTCCTTTTCTCTTCCTTTTTAGAAGCAAGCTGTCATTTCAAATCTGATTATGAATTTGTTAGGACGAGGATTTAGATGAACCGAAAACAATTGGGCACACTAGTTCCCGCAATAAAATCCCCGTCCTTTCCACATTGGGACCCATTCCCCCCCACCCTACAGCAACTGTGGCATGCCTGAGCATCTGAGGACATTAATTAGCATGTTGTTAGGATGTAAGGGATTTTAATGGCATAACTGGAAGGTCGCCCACATATCCCTAGAAAATTATAAGCAGAGATTCTCCAGCTAAAATTGATAACCAGATGGATAAGTATGAAGCTAATGTTCTTTCTTCAGGGGCCAGAATGTCAAAGTGAATATCTAATTAGGTTTTTCTTTCTCCTGAGTGGCTTTCCTGAACCACAGAGAGCAAAAATAAATCAAGTATCAGTTTAAAAAATGCCTCCAAAAGAAAAAAAGGGGGGGAAACAAGCAAGCATAAAAGTCATTTAAATTTATATTAGAAAAACAGGGTGAAGAGCTGAAGCTCTGCTATTATAAGAGATAAGAGTAAATAAGGTCCCTGCCTCATTTTAATGCAGTCTGAAATATAATAAAGCGTGATTTACATAGGAAATCAGAATGCACAGTGAAGTTCTGATCAATGTCCAAACTTCTGGGATGTCTGAGTGAAAAGCTTTATGGTTATGCCACACAGTAAAGAAGGTGAGCCGTCAGTTGACAGCATTAGAGCTAGAGCAGGATTTACATCCACCTCAGATGTGGGTATAAGTTCTAAAACTTTCAGACCCGAGTTTCCCTTTGTAAACTGGGAATAAAGCTTCATAAGCTTTCACCCATTTAAAGTTAGCTGCATGTGAATCCCATTGAAATCAATGGGCTTTAATTTTGTTATTTCCTACACTAGTTTAGTTGAATAGGACCTGTGGTGTTACTGTGAAAAGAAGTGCAATAGAAGGCTAGGTATTTCTGAGCAGGAGTTGCCAACCTTGTTGGGCCCTTGGGCACATTTGCAAACCATTTGCACACACCGTGACCAAGTGCACAGCTAACCTATTCTATTTGCTACAACAAAATGCTTCTTCCAAGCCTCATTTCAGAAGGATGGAGGATACCATGTGTGTTTGTATGTGCCCACAGACGACCCCTGTTTTACAATCTTGCCATGAGCAGCACAGACAGCATGGATTTAAACTTGAGTCTGAAAGGAACTCTGGGCTCACCTGTGGCATCGTGTTGGGCTTACAGCCTTGCCTGCCTGTATGGCATAGTGTCATGAATTGGCTGGATGTGGAGGAGTGGTGGGAGAAACCAGCTGGGGAACCCCCAAGGGAACCTCCAGGGAAAGAAGACTCAGAGCCTAGGGATTAGTGGTGGATGACGATGAGTGGTCAGAGGGAGAAGGAGGAGCAGACTGGGAAGAGGAGGTGTCAGAAGCTGAAGAAACAACAGGGTTTAGTGAGCAGGAAGAGGCTGGGGCAGAGGGCAGTTCAGACTCCAAGGCAGAGGTGGAGGCTGGAGTAGAGGGTGGACAAGAGGAGGAGATGAGGCTGGCTGCTGAAGAATCTGGGGAGTCCCATGCTGCTGCAACCAGCTCCATTCCCCCCCGGTCTCCCAGAACAAGCAGAGAAATGAAAAGAGCAGATCAGAGGTTGGTTGTATGCAGATGCAGTCTCTGACTGCTTGGAAAAAATCATAGAAAGGAGGGGACTGTGAGAAGGCGGGGACCTTCAGTCCTCACAACTGACTCTACAACTCCCACTACTGAGAAGAGTTGCTGAGATCAATAGGTCATGCACGGTTTTGGTTTCTTTTTATTCAAACTTCACTGACACTGGTGTTTGTTTGTTTTTTTTTAATTGCTGACCTTTACCTGACTCCATCTCCTGACACATAGGTAGTGGGAAAGGAGTGTTTGAACATGTATTACAGTGGCATGCTCCAAAAGGGCTCTATTTCACCTGCTCTGAAGCATCTTGAATAGAAACAGCATTTTTCTGATGCATGTAAACAGGTAAACAGTGAATTTTACATGCATGCACACAGTTTGTTCTAGATTCCCATTTGTGTGATCCCAGTGAATAGACCCATTCCTGAATAAAAAACAGTAACAAATAAGTCAACCTGTACACTGAAGATTTGAGGGTTTTGATATAGCTATGTGAGTACAATGAATAAATGAAGCCTTTTGCTGATGACAGAGAATCGGAGGACCATGTACACTATTTGGGCCTTATACCAGATTGAATGTCATAATAAGTAATGCCAATTAATGCATAGGTAGTGACCATGTAGTTTGCCCCTGCAGACAAGATGTGCTGAACTGCATCTCCGGAGCATAATGTAGGACATTAAAGCTGCTTGATTGATGGATGGAGTGTTGGCAAGGACAACTTAGCTGACACTCTTTCAGTGCTACTGGGGGGCTTTTAATATCCATCTGTCTATCCAGACAAGCAGATGTGGCTAAGCAATAATTTGACTTTAGGCACTGAACATTTAAAGGGCAGAAGCTACAACAGTGCAACGCCCTACTACTGTGGCACTGTTAATTTAGCAAAAATTTAATGGAAAGGGTTAATGACTTTGGAAAAAAGCGAGGGATCTGTAAAAGGTATTTCAGCCTCTCAGAGATTCAACATACTCAGGTTATGAAACATCCTTTGTAGTTTCTAGCCACAGTAGGCTTTAAATCCTCTCATATTTCTCTTCAAAAATCTAAATGGGCTATATACCCTTGTCTCACCAATTTGATGCACATGGGAAGCTCACAAATGGTCAGCAGCCAGTGATTCCCAGAAAATGGCATATTCAATGGCATACTGCCCCCCTCAAAGGGAAGGTAAAAGGTGGGCACAGTGGCTGGTAGCCTTAACCTTCACAAATTTGTCTAATAATCTCTTAAGGCTCCCAAGTTGGTGGCCATCGCTATGTTTCATGGGAGCGAATTTCATAGTTTTAACTAAGCACTATAATTAAACTGTGGAATTAATTGGAAGTAGAAAGAGACAAATGTTAAGAAAAGACATGGATAATCTTAGGCTGAGGAACAAGGTTGGTTCCTAGAACAACAATAATGAGGAGACGCATATGGTGGAAGAAGAGAAGATAAATATAGAGGAGCAAGATCATGGAGACATTTGGAAGTACAAGAAGTTTAAAGATAGAGAACCCAGTGAAGAGAACTGTATAAAGAAATAACGTAACAAGCAGAAAATATCAAACAAGCAATGACATTGAGGACAGAGTGAAGAGGCCTAAGGAGAGAAGCAGGAAGACCAACAAGAAGGAAGTTCTAATAATCAATGATATATGTAGAAAAGCAAGAACAAATTTTAGATATATTCAGCAGTTGACAATGACAGGGCTGGAGCTTGGTGGGGAATGCCAAGTTTCCAAGCTTAAAAAGAAGAACAAGTGATCAAATTATCATGAGTGAGAGAGAAGCAATATTGGCTGCTGGCTGGTTTTTAATTGCCTGAGTGTGTCCTTTTTTGGCCACCTCCCTTTTGACTATTGTTCCCTTTTAAAATACTCTTCCAGCTACATGGGGGCTGCTTATTCAGGAGCATATCCAGTGCAGTTAGAATAATATCTAAGTGATCCAGTTAGGAATTTAGGGCTGATCGCGTGCATCTTTCACATGGAATTTGTACCTGCTCCCCATGAGTGTGCTAATTTTATGGGAATGGCCCATGCAATGAGATCTGCCCATGTAGCACAGGGATCGGGAAGCAATTGTGACACTACAGATCTCCATCTGGACCTCAGGCCTCTCCTCAGACCAGATCCCTTGCTAGGCCACATCCCTTACGAGTCATGCTTTCTGCCCTCATAAGGTGCCTTTCCTTACCTGGACTATGTCCTTAACTATAATAATCAATCAATCAATCAATCAATCAATCAATCAATCTTTATTACGGTCCAGAGACCCAACAAATCATTACAAAGCAATGCACAATTCAGACAGCCTACCTCCAGGTTAAACAAGCATTTTGTTCAGACTTAAAGATAGGGATCATTGGTTCCTGCAACCACCGATAAAAACTTTGCCACTGCTAAGGAACCTGACATAGTGAGCCTCTGATTTTCCCAGGAAAGGTACCAGCAAGGGTAATATCAGTTCAGCCCTGGCTTTCTCATATTTCACACAGTGCAGCAAACTATGCTTTATAGAATCGATGTCTTGAGCACACGAGCAAAGTTGATTATTCAGGAAAGAGACATTTCACTACTGACCACTCCCTTCTCCCATTCATGTAATGGGCAGGCAGCAATGCATCACAACAGGTCTAATGCTTTAATTTGTACTGTGAAGGCAGTGGGAAGGATATTTTCACGGTGTTTGCTAACTGGTGAATTTTCATTCTCTTTGGTTCTGTCTAATAGGGAGGACTATTATGTAGTCTACAACGGCTTTTAACAATGGAACTACAAGGTGTTTATGCTAAACAAAATGTAATAATGGTAGATCTATAAATCTGAATCAATGCTGCCAGGGCAACCCGTATTTTCTATTAATTTTGAATTCCATCAAGCCTTTTCTTTTCAGAGCTTGTGATTTTCCTGGAACTTAGTTCTGATGTAAAACTCATATTTGGTGCAATTTATCCATTATTAGGAACTTTATTCACTAATATAACTAAAGTTATAATCATATAATCATAGTATTGGATGGGACCATGAGGATCATCTAGTCCAGCCCCCTGCAATGCAGGAATCTTTAGCCCAATGTGGGGCTCAAACCACATGGCCCTGAGATTTAGAGTCTCATGCTCTTCCAACTGAGCTACCATTCAGGTTTGGGTCCTCTGATGTCATTGGGCTACAACTTCCATCACCCTTGGCTATTAGCTAAGCTGACTGACCAATGTCTAAGCCCCGAGAGCCAGAAAGATTGCTCTGGATGGCCACATTTGGCTCCTGGGCTTGAAGTTTCACACCCCTGTTCTAACTGGGCTGGTTAACAGAAAATGGATTTTGACAAATAATGGTTCCCAAAGCAGTACTTTTGAAATGAAATTTAATTTACATTTTTGTTGAAAGGCTGCATGCTGTTAAGAGCTTGCTTGGCTCACGCTGTCTGTAAACTTGGGCTCCTGATGCTGATTCGTAACATGAAATTGTCCTGTTCTGCAAAATAATTTAAGCAAACTATGTGGATCCTGCTGTTAATGTGACACCAGCCTACAACTGCGTGTGAAGTTACATATGCATCAGTTTTTATTTTGCTGGAAGCTGTGTCTTTTATTTATTTTATGATTTGGGTTATTTTTTTTAGTCCTTAAAAGCAGTAACTTTTTACTCTGGATTTGATCTGTGATATTATGTCTACAAAGTCTGCTGTTTGTTCCAGGTTAAAATAAAACCTAAGTTACATCCAAGCCAGACTTAGCAGTAAAGAAAGCAGCAGCCTGAATTATTTTATTTATTTACCATATTTATAGTCTTCACACAAAGGTAAAAGTACATCACCAAAGTTCAAAATAAACCTGAAATTAAAAGGATAAATGTGTTGATCTCCCACACATTTTAACTTGGCTGAATTTGTGACAATTTTTACAGGACCAGGCTGACATTTGGCACATTCATAGACCACATCAAATAGACAGCATATACAAAGAGAAATCTCCATGTGGGACAAGAAGCTACAGTTAGAACTGGATATGGAACAACTGATTGGTTCAAAGTTGGGAAAGGAGTACAACAAGGCTGTATATTGTCTCCTTGCTTATTTAACTTATATGCAGAATTCATCATGTGAAAGGCTGGATTGGATGAATCCCAAGCCGGAATTAAGATTGCCAGAAGAAATATCAACAACCTCAGATATGCAGATGATACAACCTTGAGGGCAGAAAGTGAGGAGGAATTAAAGAACCTTTTAATGAGGGTGAAAGAAGAGAGCGCAAAATATTGTCTGAAGCTCAACATCAAAAAAACTAAGATCACGGCCACTGGTCCCATCACCTCCTGGCAAATTGAAGGCGAAGAAATGGAGGCAGTGAGAGATTTTACTTTCTTGGGTTCCATAATCACTGCAGATGGTGACAGCAGTCATGAAATTAAAAGACGCCTGCTTCTTGGGAGAAAAGCAATGACAAACCTAGACAGCATCTTAAAAAGCAGAGACATCACCTTGCCAACAAAGGTCCGTATAGTTAAAGCTATGGTTTTCCCAGTAGTGACGTATGGAAGTAAGAGCTGGACCATAAAAGAGGTTGATCGCCGAAGAATTGATGCTTTTGAATTATGGTGCTGGAAGAGACTCTTGAGAGTCCCATGGACTGCAAATAAGATCAAACCTATCCATTCTTAAGGAAATCAGCCCTGAGTGCTCACTGGAAGGAGCTCCCTGGAAAAGACCCTGATGTTGGGAAAGATGGAGGGCACAAGGAGAAGGGGACGACAGAGGATGAGATGATTGGACAGTGTTCTCGAAGCTACGAACATGAGTTTGACCAAACTGCGGGAGGCAGTAGAAGACAGGAGCGAGAGAGTCGGACATGACTAAATGACTAAACAACAAAAGCTTTACAGATAACATTTTTATAAATTATCAAATTATGAGTTTTGCAACGGTGGAAGCTTTAACACCCCCTCCCCCCGCTCCCGCCCCCTCGCTTTGCTAAAGGGACAATCCTGTGCCCCTTTAATGAAAATACTGATGATATGGTTTTGACATACAACAGAAGGAGTGAAAAGTGCAAAACACGCAGTTTTCCTTCATTTTTCTAAAAACAACAGTTGTCATCTTTCTGTGCAAACTGGTGGTTCATTAATTTATGACTACTATGCCAATTATTATGATTACAGAGCAAGTTAGAGAGACCAAATTTTAATAGTGCTAATTGGAAACTAGTGCTTGTGCTCTTGTATGAGATTTTCAGTCCAGGTTTCTGTTTTTGTTTTTAGCAATTAAATAGGCTGGGATATTTTTTTAAAAAAATCTTTCTAATTTTTTCACAATGGATATTGTTTCAGTGCAGGAATGCAAACCCACATTGCCGTTAGTAAAATTGTAAGAAATACAGTGGATGAGATCCACATCAAACTGAAGTCAGACACGGACTCCCACAGTTTTAATGACATTGGATTACACCCAATTTCATCACTGTGAAGCATTAGTAGAATAACAGATCTGGTTTCTTGTTTCAGTAGCCACATGATGCTACTTGCTCCTTTTCATGCAGCAACGCATGCCTCAGTTTTGCATAAATGAACTGATGTGTATAACTATACAATCCTTATAAATCTATTGATGATGTAAAAATGCCATGTTGAAACGAAGATTGTATCTATCCTGGGGTAGGTGAGAAATTTGATTCACTTCACCTTTGAAGGCAAACTTACCAATTCAGTCTTTTTGAAACAATACACAAACTGAAACACAAGCATCTTTTGAAATTCATTCTTTTCCAAATTTTGAAGTGAAGTTCTCCAGTCAAGTAATGTGTAGAAAAATGCATATATTAGGTTAAAGTGCATATATTAGTGTATTGTACTGTATTTGGGGAAGTTATCTTGCAAAGATATGCCTATTAGGTGAAATTGCACGAACATGGAGAAATTCATAGTAAGATGCTGATGAATTTTCGAGAGGTCTTCATAAAGGGAAAAAATAATAATATGGAAATGCGAAGAAACAAATTTAGGGCTGGAAAAATGAGAACCTGAAATTGAGAGCTCCTCTATACCTAATCTATACCTATTGTAACTACTATAATTATTGCATATTATTGCTATCTCCATACGAAAGGTTAATATGAATAGAGAATGATGTCTATACCAGGAAGTTTCATCCTGCATTACTTAAACGCAAGCGACCTTAAGCCAATTGGGATTTGTTACATTTAATAACAGTGAGGAATGGTTTTCATCAGTTTGGGCAAAAATGCAGTACATGGAGCAGCTTCCCACAGATTTCATGGATGCATCCTTGTACTGCACTGATGTAGAAGGCTGCGGATCTCATGGTCCACAGAATGTTTGGCTTGTGTGGGAAGGCACCCCCCTCTACTCTTTGGTCCTCCCCAATATCAAGAATAAGAGACATGACAACCAATATTAGGCCACAACTTTATTGGGTTTGGCCTAGGCACTGGGTGGACCTCACCCCTTCTGATCCACCTGCTGGAAGAATTTGCATTTGGGATCCACTAGGAATGAGGGAGTCCCTGACTTACATCAAGGGGTAATTCCCCCACTGGATTGCACCTGTTGAGTGCTGTGGCCCCCTGCCCCTGCCTGGGTGTCCAGACAGAAGCATCTCCCCTGGATTCTTTTAACGGGATACCCCATTTTGGAGGGGCCTACAGAATATTTGGCTTATTGGATGAAGCAGACCAAAGGTGACTTTAATGCAGGCATTCTGGCTTGATAGCTAGCTAGTGGTCTGTTGCCAGCTATTAAAAAGTTAATATTATATTGCTATAGTAGAAAAAGAATAGGAAGGCAGTAAATGAAGCGGGGTGCCTACAGGGGCACAGAACTATGTATATTGATCCCAGAATTGGTGTAGTGGTTAAGAGTGGTAGACTTGTAATCTGGTGAACTGGGTTCACTTCCCTGCTCCTCCACATGCAACTGCTGGGTGACCTTGGGCTAGTCACACTTCTTTGAAGTCTCTCAGCCCCACTCACCTCACAGAGTGTTTGTTGTGGGGGAGGAAGAGAAAGGAGATTGTTAGCCACTTTGAGACTCCCTAGAGATAAAGTGGGATATCAAATCGAAATGCTGCTTCTTCTTCTTCTTCTTCTTCTTCTTCTTCTTCTTCTTCTTCTTCTTCTTCTACGATGTTCCTGGAAAAGGAACTATAGACAAAATGCACTGACCAGGGCTAAATAAACTTATGGCACTTAAACAAGACTTCTGGCTCCTTCTCCTTTATAGTGAGTGCAATATCTATCAGTATCTATATGTGCATGTTAGTCTCTATCTATCTATCTATCTATCTATCTATCTATCTATCTAAAGTGAGCTTGTGCAATATGCACTTTTGCTACCTGAGGCATGATGGAGAAAGGCTGAAAATAATTTTTGCTGTACCATGACATTTGCTGTACTTCTATATGTTTTAAGTTCTGCAACCATTTTATCACACCATTTTCATATGCAGGGTGGCTTTGCTCAGATTGAAGGTCATACTAGTTCATTTAAAAAAGAAATACCAATTTTTGTTGTCATGTATCACAGAACAAGGGAATGAAAAAGAAAACATTAGTGGCAAACTTTTAACAGCGGAGGTTAGCTTTTCTTTAAATCTCATTTTCTTTAATACTTGAAAAACCTATCTTTTGTAGTATGCAGATTTACATTCAATTTATTTATTGGCTGGGCTGCAATCCTATATACACTGTCCTGGGAGTCAGTCCCATTTAACTCAGTGGAACTTACTTCTGAGTAGACTGGTATAGCATTGCACTGCAAACTACAGATAAATCGTTGAATGTGATTTTCTTCTCAGTGCACACTGCTCTCCCCCCTACTGCTGCGTTGCCTGAGGCAATGTTTGTTCATATTTAGTCAGAGGAAGGAAGCTGAGGGTGAGCCCTAATGCAGAGAAAGTGCTGGTTTTAGCCTAAATGTTTTAATAGGAAACAGATGCTCTCATGGCTAAAACCTAAGAGTAGTACAAGCACAAGATACCAAGGCAGTATCTTAAATATGAGAAGTGAGATAAAGCCTTGTGGCTCTGCTCACTTGTTGAGGATAATATTTGGGTCCGTTATTTTAGATGTGCTATACAAATCTACAGGTGTGCCCTTTTCAGAGCTCTAGCATTGCTGTCAGTCAGCCCCAC